CTCCGTTGCTAAAAGTTCAGTAACTTTTACCTACGGACAAAGGGTGTAGGTATAACCCTGGGCTTCTGCAAAATCCTATACAAGCATGATAAATACACAACAATGGTACCAATCAACTCGTGACAACCTCACGAGCATCATGGTACCCTTATCCATGGCCAATTGTACCTGTAAAGAAAAACCCCAAAAACGAGCCAAGAACCCTAACTATGGCATCTTGCTCTACAGTTAATGAAAATGCAATTGAACATAACCATTAGCTTGCAAATTATTCAAGGATCAAGAATATGAAAAGAAATCATGCTACAAATGCCAGAATCGTGATATTCGATTTCAAAAAAGTATGAATGTCGTGAGATGCTTACAGCGCGTTTTTGGATGTTATGAGGCTTGCTAGTGATTGGAATAAGGTCCTTGGATGTCCAGCAAACGAATGGTGTGCCTGGAATGGCTTGAGGAAGCCTGGAACTAAGAAATCAGATTGCCACTTTCCTTTGAAATTTTGAGATTTGTTCTTCTCTTTACACGCCTCCAATCTCCCTGTTTTTGGTCTGCACTTGTTCTATATGTACCCTAGAATGAATTAGGTTACAAACTTGCTTCAAATCTTTTTCAATTAAGATGATTGAATCATGATTTGATCCTTATGCAAATCTTTCCAAATCAAGCCAAATCCAATCTTTTTGTATCCAAATGAAGCTTGCACGATTTGATTCTTCTTACAGCTGTATAAGAGGCCTAAACATGCACAAAATCTCAAGCTTTGATTAGTTTTGATATTTTTCTTGATTTTATTTTGATTTTATTTGATTTAATTGAAATAAAAATCAAAATAAATGAAAAAAATAAAATAAAGACAAGTGGGAGAGATCATGGGTCGTGGGTCATGTTACAAACTCAATGCAAGCATAAAAAGTTGGGCCCATTTGACAAAAATTGTAATTTTGGCCATATTTAACAATGCATAAGATGTGTTCTTGGACTTTTTAGAAAGCTTAAGATGTCCTCTAAGCAACCCTTTTGGTCTCATCTCAATTGGGTCTTCCATGTTCATGAATGAAGCTTTGACAAAAAAGGTGTTTTTGTTGACTTTTCAAAATGACCTATAATGTCCAAATTCATATCTTCTTGGGAGTGCATATTTTGAACTTGGGAGATGAAGATGGATTGTAGGGAATTACATACTATTCAAAATAAGCTTTGGATGGGTCATTTTTTATAAAGTATGAGAAAGTTATGCTTGGTCAAAGTTGAGTTGACTTTTCCTGCAAAACCCTAATTTAACAACTTTTGGGTTTTGATGAATTGTGAGCAATCCTTGAGGAATCATGATCAACCCTTGATAAAATGATGAATAATTATTAAAAATAAGGATGTTGACCAAAAATCTTGAAGTTTGACTGTATGTAGGACACAATTGACTTTTACCCTAGCACGGTCGATTTTCAGGCCTTTAAGCAATTGACTGAGCAAACTTTCTCTGCAAGGCTTGAAACTTGACATGGATGATCTTGAGAACATATTAGGACAATGGTGAGAATTTGGTACCATTTGTATCCAAGTACCTTGGTGCAAACTGAAACCCTAATTTGAGGTAGACTGCCTTAGGAGAGAGTTTGTCTGGTCAACCCTTGGACTTCCTTGAGCAATTTGAGGACCTCACTTGACATGTATTGAAAAATACGGGAGGTAAAATTTTGTGGTACAACACCCCATTATGTAGTAGCTTAGTTTTTTTTATCACTTTTGGATGTTATCCCTATTTGTATAACCCCCTTTTTGTTTGCAATCTATTCTTAGTTCATAATCGAGAGGAAATGATCTTTTATTGTTAGGTCTCAAAGTCCTTAATCTCCTTGATAGGGGCGACTATGGTCCTTTGTGAGGTTTCAACATTATTAAAAGTCTTGACGGGCAGCGAAGAATCTTATTAAGAATTTAGTATGTTAATCGTCTTGAAGGGTTGCAAGGACCCGTCATCGGGACTTCACATTTTGATCGCCTCAAAGGGTAACAAGGATCCCTTATAGGGATCTATCATTTTGTATCCCCTCAAAGGGAGAAAAGATCCTTATTTTGGATCCAACATTTTTAATCGCCTCAAAGGAAGGCAAGAATCCCACATGAAGATATAATATTTTGATCGCCTCGATGGGCGGCAAGTATTCCTCATATGGATCTAACATTTTTTATCTCCTCATTGGACAACAAGGATCCTTATATGGATCTAGAACTTTGATCGCCTCATCGGACAGAAATTATCCCTCATAGGACTGCAACATTTTAATCGCCTCAATAATGACAAGGATCCCTCGTAGGGGTCCAATGTTTGTGACTGTGTCCATGAGCGGTTTTCTTCGGTGTCCTTAGGTTTCATGTAAAGAGAAAAAGGAGACAAAAATGGAAAACATATAATAAATAATAGCGTGATGAGTATTATTAAATACATTTGCCTTCTCACGAAGCACTAGAGAAAAAGTGTGCCTTTAAAAAATAAACTTTAACTCATTACCAATCTATCACTCAAAACAGAACAATCATGCTTCAGCTATTTTCTCCACACGACTAGAAAGTACTGAATCATGTATCATTCACTTTTATCTTTGATTTCTTAATTCATTCTCTTCTACATTTTTTCAATTAAATTGAATGTTTTTAATCCTTTTAGAACTATCAAATGCATATAAAATCCTAATTCTTACAAAACTATGATTTGCTAATAGCTAAGAGAGTCTCACGAAACCGAACAATTATCTCTTAAAAATCTCTAATTTATCTCTTCAAAGCAATGTTTTAAAAATCGAATCGAATATCGAACCGGCAAGACTTTCGGTTCAAGGTTCATTTGGTTCAACCGGTTAAACCTACAGTCGAACCATTTACTAAATAAGTTAACAATATAAAAACTAAATTTTATGGATAAGCCACATAATCATATGTTCACAAATTTTGAAAATAAATATTTTAAAAATCTATTACAAACTTAATATTATAAGACAAATGATAGACATAATTACACAATATAATTATACGCTTAAAGTAACAAAACTATAACATAGTATTATAACTTAGAAATTTGCCGCTTTCTTGTGAAGGGAAAATGTTTCAATTATTGATGCTAACATAATAATAATTCTTAATTTTTTTAATTAAAAAATACTAAAATTAGTCAATGACAAATATTTTTTTGAATCTGACGGTTTTACAAAATCGGCTCTGATTCTTTAGTTCGAATGATTTCGAGCGATTCAACCGAATTTTCTGGGTTTTACTCCAATTTTGATCCACCAGCGATTTTATAAGGCTGACCGGACCAGAGTCATCACCAATTCTAAGTCTAATTGATTGAACCAGATTATTCAGTCTGGTTTTTAAAACATTGCTTCAAAGATATGCTTCATTCTCTTTGATAGTATGATTTTTTTTTATTTAAAAAGTTTAATCTTTAAAATTTTTACTTTTATATTCAATTTTCTCTTTTTTATTTATTTAATTTTTCAATTAAAGAGTAGCATAGATTTTATTAAATGTGTCTATTAGATTTATAAATTAGTTATATATATATATATATATATATATATATATATATATATATATATATATATATATATATATATATATATATATATATATATATATATATATATATATATATATATATATATATATATATATATATATATATATATATATATATATATATATATATATATATATATATATATATATATATATATATATATATATATATATATATATATATATAATTATCATTATACTAATTTAATATATCATTCTCGAGTATTGCACGGGTAGTTAACTAGTAGAATAAATTTTTAACTATAAAGTAATAATTTTAAATATTAATAAAATCACTTTAAAAATTAAAAGAAAAAGCAAAAAACCACACCTTTAATAAAACGGCTGAACCCTAAAAAAAGCTTCTCATCAGCCATTTCATTGGTTTACATTACTTTTTAATAAAAAAAAAAAGACAAATGTAGCAAATTCAAAAAATTGGTTTCATTCTGATGAGAAGAGGATCGTTAGGTTAATTAACACCATAAATAATATCAAATACTTACACGATACATTGTTTATCATATTTATACGATAAATAATGTTTTTTAATTAAAATAATATTATTTTTTAAATAAATCATTATTTTCAAAAAATATTTTTTAAATTTATTTTATAATACAAATATAAGATTATATTATTAATCAACTTCACAGTTATATTAATTATAAAAAGGTATGTATTAACTAATTAGTTTATTTAAAATTTATTAACTATTTTTATTACTTTATTAATTAATAAAATACATACTATTAACTATATATTGACACTAAATTATAAATGTATTAATCAATTTTTATATTTTATTAGTCAATTTTATTTTACTATTTAATAATTTTTTATGTCTGAAAACTTATTAACTTAATTATAAATTATAATAATCAATTTTATACATAATATTAACTAAAATCTAAATGGTATATATATTAATATTTTATTTTAGAATACATATTAACCAAACTTAAAATTATATTAAGTAAGTTTTAATGTTTCAATAATCAAATTAGTTTTAGAAAAAAATATATTAAAAAATCAAAATAATATACAAATATGTGAATAGTGTATATGAGATAAAGTGTAATTTTTTTAGTGTTAGATATCATTTTTGTAATGAGAATGTTTTGCGATGAGGCAGTTAAGGTTACACGTGAGGATAGTGCGTGTGTTAGGGCACAAGGACATGTGTTGCCTATGGAAATTCACAAGGGCACAAGTACTTTGTATTTGTAATCAACAAACTCCCATTTTCTGCTTTCTCTCTCGATATTCAATCATCTCCATCCAACCCTTTTTCCTCATTCACATTATATCAATCATTGTTCTTTATTTTCTCATTAAATTGCATGCTTTCTAAATCGTATTTTTAATTAACAAAATTGCGTGTTTTTGGCTTTCCATCTGTAGAGAATTTAAAAAGAGAAATGGGAAGACTTTTCGTGATCGATCTTGAAGGAGACTTCTACAGCTGCAAGCATTGCAAGACACCTTTTGCCCTCGTTGATGATATCATTTCCAAGGTTTTTATTTTTCCTTTCGAATAATAATTTCGCATTTCAAGTTTCGGCATGGGCGAACATGTTAGTCAATAAAGCACAAACTCCAACACGGACATGACAAGAACATTCCGACACAGATAATCTCAAAAACATATGACACGACACCACGACATATATATGATAATATTTGAACATTTATCAATTTATTATTAAAAGAGTTACTTGTTTGCAAGACTTTTTTTAACCCTTGTTTTCTTAGTCTTTCCATTGCAGGTATGGGGATGCATATCTTTTTGATAAAGTGTAAGTTTTCTTTCACTCTCTCAATTTCAAATTAACACAAGCATTACTAGAAGCCATTATGTTAAATGTTTAGCTTATGATATTATGACAGAGTAAATGTCTCAGTTGGAGAAAAAGAAGATCGGATAATGATGACAGGAATGCATTCTGTCGTCGACTTATTCTGTGTTACATGTGGATCCATTGTTGGATGGAAATATGTAAGGGCAACAAGTTTTTGATTCTCATGATATTCTTATATGTTTATCTTTAATTTTATATTTTATTTTGTTTTAGGAGGCTGCTTATGAGAAGTCTCAGAAGTATAAAGAAGGAAAGTTTATTCTTGAAAGGTAATCAATTAATCAACTATGTTAAGGTGTAATCAATAGCTTTTAGTTTATCTTTTTGCCATGATGTTGGTGGCAGAAAATAACTGTATGTTCCAGTTCTACTACATACAATAGTTACAACCATTATTTGACAGCATGTGCTTTATATTCATAGGTATAAGGTGTTGGGGCCTGATGGATCCGAATACATACCTCCTCTAGAAGATGTTGAGGATGGTTGATTTACTTCAGGAACATTTCCGTTTTGAATTGTTAATTCTTTATGATTCATTATGTATTAAAAGTATAATATCGCTTAAAACAGGTACTTTACAGATCTGTTATTTTGGAATTGATTGCAATTCAACTTTTAAAAGTTGTTACAATTAGTAACTTAGAATTGTAATCGGCATTTGTTTTTTTCACTGTCTTATTTTCATTGCTATTGAGCTATAAGAAATCATCATCCTACTCTGTCAAACCATACCATCACGTTATTCTCTCTAGGTGATGATGATTATGAGTAGGTGACACTACAATAAATAATGTTTTTTATGACGAAATTTACTTCTCGAATAATGAAAAAACGAAGGTATAGATCTTAGGAGCGTTATGCTGTATTAATTTGTTTTTAATAAAAAAAATATTATATTTCATATATTTAATATAATCGAGATAAGGTAGTAATAAGGGAGCTCGCCTCGACACCCCGATCCTGTATTTTAGGTTTTTTTTCAATTGTTCAGAAGGTAATTCTCACTTTGGCGCCTTTCCAATTTATTTTTTTTATTTTTTTTGTTTATCCCCTTAGTATTTACCTCGACTACAAGATCCAACTGAGACGTAATATATTTTGGATTAACAATTTCATAATATTAATTTCAAAATCTTATTTTAATATTTTATTTGATATATTTTAACCCTTCGATTTTCCTAAATATCTGACGTGATATATCTTTTAAATGAATTCACAGAATATAGCGCTATGAAGTTATTTTTATATTTTTTATTTTTAATAAAACAATCAGTTTTTGTGTAAAATCGAAATAAAACTTATTTTGCATGAAATACTTCATAGAACTATCTAGCTAGTTTCTAATTTTTAATTTACCTATCAACACTCAAACGGCAGTTTGTCATTCTCATTTCCCAAAAAAATCCTAGGTGATATCAAAACTCTTCCAACAGATATTCATCAAACGCCATTTGCGCAACATGTTTGTTCTTCACTGAATCGTTAGTTTGTATATTCATCAACGTTAGTTTTTCACTTTGTCTAATTATCATTTTGTTTAGGGTTTCTTTGTTACATTGTATTGATAATTTTGTTTCTATGATTTTCCATTTGTGAAATGTTTGTAAGTATAAGAGTGCGCTTAAGAGGGGGGTGAATTAGGTACTTTAATAGTTTTACCGTTTTAGTGATGATGGATATTATTTTTCTGGTTTAGTGCATGAGTTTACAAATGTGTTTCTTTCTTTTCTGGTTTATGACTAGTGATGAAAGCGGTAAATGCGAAAAAAAAAAGAACACAAAGATGTATCCTGGTTCCCCTCACAGTCCGAGAGTACTCCAGTCCCCTTTCAACATGAAAGAGATTTCCTTATTGTTAGATCTCTAGACAAGACACTTTAGTCCTTCTATACAAGACTCTAACCAATAAAACCACCAAGAACAATCCTCTTGGATTTTCACTATGTCAACAATGAGAATAATCCTCTCAAAGTGACTTTACTTGTATCCAACAATCCTAAAAAAACAAGATTTATAAAACCACTTAAACTTATTTTCAATAATCCTGAAAAATAAGCAAGTATATAACAATATTTGATTTGACTGAGTTTGTAGTGTGATAATCACTATGAGTGATTTTATCAATGAATTGATCTTCTCTTCCAATGTCAATAGTATACAATGACTCAAGATATATAATGCTCAAAGTTTTCTGTTTGACAATATGTGAAAGTGTGCATAAAAAATTTGTGTATGAAAGTGAAGAAAAGCTTGAGTTTGATATTTGAAAATTCAGAAAATATGATTGGAAGAGGTGTTGAAATGATTTTGAAAATGAGTATTTATATGTTCATAGCACCCTTTTGAAACAGCATAAAGTTCTGTAAATGAATCATGAACAATTGTCAAGATTGAGTGAAAGGTTTGCATGAAAAGGTGTTATGAACAAGCATGTGTAAAGCTGTTGTTTTTCAAAATCGTGCAGCATGCAATCGATTGCACCCTTTGTGTAAATCGATTGCACGGGGTTTCAACAGCTAGAATTTCAAATATTTTGAGTGTGCAATCGATTGCACAAAAGTGTAAATCAATTGTATGTGAAGTCAGTAGCAAAAATTGATTGAGTGCAATCGATTGCATAAACATGCAAATCGATTGCACTGAGAAACAGTAGCAAATGTTTTGAAAAATTGAAGCATGCAATCGAATGCACTAATATGCAAATCGATTGCAGTCAAGTGAAAAATGTTTTTAGCTTAGAAAAAACTTGAGTAAAGATTTGGACAATATAAAATATTTCTTTTGACCATTGAGCATCTATGTCTTAGGTTCAAAGTAAGTATTATCATTATACCTTGAAATTTTCTAAGTTCTTGAACTAAAGACTTTATCCATAGATGCTTTTAGCTTGATCAAAAATCTTTGCCTTCTTTGTCAATCATGGTTTGTCTTCATCAAAACAAAAGTGCATTTGAGAAGCTTAATTTTACATTCTCCCCCTTTTTGATAATAACAAACAATCTTGCTTGATGCTTTGTAATTTCCGGAAAGAGACTTCTCCCTCTAAGATGTATAACTCCTCCTTTGTATGAGAAGCTTTGAAATCATTTGGATTTGCTCATCTTGAAGGATTCTTTGTACCTTAAAAGTTTAAGACAAGGAAATACACAAGTATAAAGTATAACATCCTTCTCCCCCTTTGACATTATCAAAAAGAAGGGAAAGATGCATAAAAATGGACAAAATACATATAATAATATTGAAAGCTTGACCATAGCCATATTGCTTCATGATGCTTTTTCTCATCCTTTGATAAATGCACATAGTAGTTATCTTCATCAAAACATAATGTTGAAGATGCCTGACTCTTTTAGGCAGAATGAGAAACTCTTATGTGAATGCTCTCCCTATCTTTGATAACTCCCTCTTGATCAAAGGTCTCCCTTGAATCATAGAGAATTTTCATCTTTCTTTGGGCTGCAATAGTTAGAGACAAGCATACGCATACACATACACATACAAATATATATATATATATATATATATATATATATATATATATATATATATATATATATATATATATATATATATATATATATATATATATATATATATATATATATATATATATATATATATATATATATATATATATATATATATATATATATATATATCTTCTCCCCCTTTGTCTTTAGCAAAAAGGAATGGGGAAAGACATAAAATATATAATGAAAATTATAAACATAAAAACAATTTTTACCTATGAGTTTTACCTTAAGAGTGACTTCATAAATCATTCATCTTTGATGAATTTGAAGCCTTTTCAACAAAGTTATCTTTTACTTAGAAGTTGTCTTTTTGTTCTTCAAAATAAAGTACATCTTCAATGGATATGAAAGTTAGTGTATCAACTTTGTCAATGCCAAGAATTATTCCTTTAAGGTATTTTCCCATATGTGAAATAATCCTTGGACTTGAACTAGATTTGAAAGTAAGTGTAAGTCTCCCTTCATATGCTTTGAACAACCACTATCCAGATACCAAAGATTGCACGTGGTCTTCAAGAATACCTACAAAACAAATTAAGTTTGATTTGGTACCCAATGTGCTTTGGGTCCCTCATAGTTAGTTCTCTTCTTAACCTACACATAATGTCCACTTGCTACACTAAAGTTTCAAACATAGCAAGCATTAGGTGTATGGCCAACAATACCACAATAAAAGCAAGTAGGTTCAAAGTTACTTCTATATCTAGAAGAGTAAGATTTCTTATTTACAAATCTTTTCCTTTTAGGATATTGATGAACTACTTTAAGTTTGTTCACTTTCTCTTTAGATGATTGATCACTATCCTTAACAAAGATAGTTTTATTAGAACTTGGTTTTAAAAATTTTGAATATCCAAGTCCACTTTTATCATTGGAATATCTTTGTTGGCTAAGAACACCTTTCAATCCAATTTGACCTTTTTTCATATCTTTCAATAACTCTTTTTAATTGGACAATTTGGAAAGAGAGTGATTCACAATTTTTGCATACAGAATTCTGTTTTTGGTCACTAAGTTTTTGTTTTTCATCTTTGAGATCTTTTTCCACAGACTCACATTTTTCTTCTAAAGATGAAATTTGTTTCTTTTGAGATGAAATATTTTTGTATAGAATTTTACATTCATTTAATATTTCATCTATAGCACCTTGTGCATCATTATCAAAAAGAGAAAATTTATTACTAACCTCGTCATCTTCACTATCGGAATGGAGTGAGGCCATCAATGCGAGATTAACACGTTGATTGTTTTCAGAATCAGAAGATGAACTTTCCCATGCTACATATGCTTTATTTGACTTCTTATCTTTATTTCTATTGAAATATTTCTTCTTCTTTTCAAGTTTAGGACATTCACTTTTAACATGTCCCTTTTCTCCACATTCAAAGAATATAACCTTCCTTGTTGGTGCTTCCCTTTTTCTTTCTTTTCGTAGAACCTTTTCAATCTTCTTGATAAGATCATCATCTTCACTACTAGTGGATTCATCCTCTTGATTGCTATCATAATTTTTTATCCTTACATTTAGAGCCATGTCTTTTGAATCTTTTACTTGGATTTCATGCTTTTCAAGTCTTGCAAGTTCTGTCTCATATTCTTGAAGTTTTCTGAACAAAGTGGCAGAAGTCATTGTGGATAGATTCTTCTTCTCGGATATTGCTGTCACTTTTGGTTGCCATTCCCTGAATAAAGATCTAATCACTTTAAGATTAAGTTCATCATTAGTTAAAGTCTTATCGAGTGCTTTAAAATGATTTGTCAAGTGTACAAATCTTTTCTGTAAGTCGAGGATTGATTCTCGGGGCTGCATTCTAAATAGTTCATATTCTTGACTCAATGTATTTAATCTCAATCTTTTAGCTTCAGCGGTTCCTTCATGATTTTCTACCAAGGTATCTCATATTCTTTCACTGTTTTTCATGCTGAGACACAGAATAATTCATCCATGCAAGTG